ACCTTAATCTTAAGCACATAACTCCTGGGAATAAAGGAACTTGTTTGCTTGATAACTACAATGTTTCACCAAGTTCTGGTGCTCCTGGATCTGCCCACCTAACAGTAACTTCAGACAATGGACTTTCTTGAGAGCTACACAAAGCTCCTAACATTACATACTGTAAAATGTACCTGCACAATAAGTAACCTTACTGATACTCTAAACAATAATGTAGTTATGTTACTAATGACCTAATGTAACTTATTGGTATAAATAAAGGTGGCCGCTTGGACAATGAGCCACTCTGCCACCTTCCCTGCCTCTGTATCTTGTCTTTGTCTCCTCTTTATTATTACTCCTTACAAGTAAGCTTTATACATTCATATGTTTTATTTATAATTTTTTCAAATCTCTTTTAAAAAATTTTTTATACTTGTAGATGGACAGAATGTCTTTATTTATTTTTATTGGTGCTGAGATGGACCCCAGTGCCTCATGGATGCTAGGCACCCATTGCCACTGAGATACAGCCAACCCCAGCCATTTTGTTTTAACTTGAATTCCTTTAAGCATTTCTTATAAATCTGTTTTGGTGATAAACTCGCTCAGCTTTTATTTTTCTTGGAATGTCTTTGTAACACCTTTTTTTAAAAAAAAAATGATAGTTTTGCTGGATATAGTATTCTTTGTTGACAGATTTATTTATTTTTAGCACTTGAATACGTTATCTCCCTCTTGATTTCAAGGTTTCTGTTGATAGTAAATCAGATATATATATATATATATATATATATATATATATATATATATATATATATAACCCTTTGTGTATAATAAATTTCTTATCTCTCACTGCTTTTAAGAGTCTCTTTTTGTCTCTCACTTTGACAATTCAATTAAATGTTTTTCAGTGTTGGGGTTCTGTTTTTTAATTAATCCTTCTTTAAGTCCTTTTAATATTCTTGGATTTAAATATCTATATCCCTCCCAAGATTTGGACAATTTTCAGACACTATTTCATAAAGTAAGCTTTCTATACTTTCTCTTATCTTTGGTACTCCCATAATTCATCCATCCATACAGTGTATGTTTTCCCATAAGTCCCTGTTTTAGTCAACCTTTTCATCACTGTGACCGAAAGACCAAACAAGAACAATTGGAGGTAGAAAATTTTATTTGGCTCATGGTTTCAGAGGTCTCAATCATAGATGGCCAACTCCACAGCTCTGGGCCCAAGGTGAAACAGAACATTATGGCAGAAGAATATGACAGAGGAAAGCAGCTCAGGACATGGCAATTAGGAACCAGAGAGCTCCACTAACCAAGGACAAAATGTAAGCTCCAAAAGCATGCCTCCAGTGAACCACCTCCTCCAGCCACACCCTAATTACCTACAGTTACCACCCAGTTAACCCCTATCAGTTGATTAATGTATTGATAGGTTAAGGTTCTCATAACGCAACCATTTAACCTCTGAATATTCTTGTATTGTCTCACACATGATCTTTTAGGGGACATGTCATATCTAAACTATAATAGTTTCTTATACTTTTTTCACCCTTTTTTGACATTTTTTCTCTTTATTCCTCTAAGTGGCTAATTTCATATGTCCTGATTTTAAGTCACTAATTCTTTCTTTCAGCATGATTAAGTATGCTTTTGAAGCTCTTTATTGAGTTTTTAAATTCCATCATTGATTTCTTCAGCTCCAGGATTTCTGTTTGGTTTGGTTTATAGTTTCTATTTTGCTTACTAAATTCCTTTTGTTCAAATTCTTTTTTCTAGTTTCCTTTAGTTATCTCTCTTTATTTTCTTATGTATCATTATGCTTAAGATGATCATTTTGAACACTTTTTCAGGCAACTTATATATTTTCATTTCTTTGGGATAATACATTGGAGATCTCTTACTTTCCTTTGGTAATATAATATTTATGTGATACTTTGTTTTCTGTATAGCTTTGCATTGATATATGTGCATTTCAAGGAACAAACCCCTCTTTTGGTCTTTACAGACTGGTTTTGGCTTGTTGAAGTCATGTCCTGTTAGAATTATCTTCAGGATTTCAATTGATGAGGTTATATCCAGGGTTTGCAGTTGGTTCTGATGTTCAGTGTACAGCATAATTACTAGGGGTCTCTTGCAGGCATGGATTCTGTGTGGTTTAGGGATGTACTGGACTATCTCCAAGACCTTAATCTGTGGGACTGGTTCTGGGATGAGGCTCCATAGTTCAGATTTTGGCAGGTCTGTTACCAGATGCATTGATAGGGAGGCTTCCTCTGGGTCTCCGGGTAGGTCCTTGGACTGGCCATACTGCCTGTCTGTGGCTTAAAGGGGTCTAAAACTAAGACTCAGGGTTTTTTCAGTGTTCATGACAGAAAATTAAATCTTCAGTCCTGTATTCATTCAAGGACATGAGATAGGTTTGCCTCTAGGTGGGTTCCTGGGTGAACAAGCCTGCTCTGAAACTTCAGTTGAGAAGAACCAGAGGTAATTTAGACGTTGTTTCAAGATCCACAATGGAATTGAAGTCAACTCTGATCTCAGCCTTCAGGGGAATTGCCGGTTGTGCTCTCTTTGACTCCTTTGACAGACAGAACTGTTCTCAGTATATAACTGGGACAGTTTGGGACTGAGATTCAGGGTTCACTGTGGAACAAAGTTTGGCAAACCTGTCACAGAGACTCAGATGGGCTCCTCCTTTGGAGAGATCCAGCTGGATAGAACTGCTCCCAAACATATATTGCCTTAAACAAAACGCAATCAGTAACTATCGATAGAACTATGGAAGTTTAAATTGAAGTGAGTGATCACATGCTCACAATCAGCCATTTCTTATCTTCTTCTCCATCTTGACCAAATTTTAGTCAGGCTTCTCTCCTCTAACAGACCCCTAAGTTTTGGCTCACAAGAAAGTTTAAAGACACACCAAAGCATTAGACTGCTGAACATCCTGCCTCCCCTTTAACGGCTTATGCTCAGAATCCCACAACCATAACAACCATTCCCACTGAAATGCCCTGGTTTTGCCACCTGCACACCTCCACCCTTTCCTCCTCCCCCACAAAGTTCCTGCTAACTCTTCTTACTCATCCCTATAAAAGAGCATTTTTGTTTGATATTGAGATGCTTTTAGAATTTTGAAATTGGAGCATTTTTCCTATTCCATGTTGTTCTAAATAAAGTCTTTCTTATCTAAGTTCAGATTTTTTATTGGACATGAGAAATACAATTGCTAAATGTAAACTTGCTCCTTATTTAATTACATGCAAAAAATTGTGGCCCATATGAAAGCCAGAAAACATGTCTATTCAAGTTGTTACAGGGCTCAAGCCTTCAGGGAAACTGAGGAAGAGCGAAGATCCCTCCCCCACTTCAAATCCTGATTCTTGCCACCAAGTCAGAAATATTTCAGACATGTTGCTCAGAGTACCAGGCAATGACTTTATTGAACAGATAGGAAAAGGGAAAGGGAACACTTTCAAGGAAAAGATTGGATCCTCTCAGAAAGGAGAGTCACCTTGCCTTGCCTGCACTCCAGTTTTATTGGGAATCCCAGAGAATTTTCCAGAGTCCTGCCCAGGTCCACCTTTCTACTTTTGACTCAAAGCAGGATGACATCAGAATTTCAAGTACCTGCTGTCATGACAACTCTAGGTCACCTTGGCTCATGCTGATTGGTTCTGATTCTTAAAGTCTTACAAGCTTTATGGTTGGAAGGAATTATCCTTATCTCCCTGAATTTCATGATCTGGTCTATGAAAGAGTTACAAAAGTCTTCCCCTTAAGGGTTACTTGGGTTCCTGTTATCAACATTATTTGGGTCCTGCATTTCTCCTACAGATAACAGGTAGCTTGCTGAGGAATGTGACATAGACTGTCCAATTACACAAGCAAGGCTGCAGGTTGACTGCATCTTAGAAAAGAAAGCATGCAGGGGTCAGCATAGCAGGTCCATGTTATGAAATTATTCTTTTGATCTCATGTTCCCACCGTCCTCATCTATCTGTCCCCTAACAGTGAATCTCTAAAACATATAAATGCTCTATGTAAGGACTAAAGGTGAAGATAACAATTTTAGTATTTTCTTTTTGCATCAAGTGTTTCGTTTCTTCTTTTTTTAATCACATTTTCTAAAAATTTTGTTAAAATCTTCAATAATACTTCCCTTCATTTTCTTTCCCTATTGTAGTGTCTCTCTTCTATATCGCAATCTCTCTCCCAGTCTCCTACAGTCTGTTCCCTTAGCTTCCCATTTCTGTTCCTACACCTCTCATTTCTTTTTGCCCTGCATATCTATCTCCTTCACCTTTTCTTTTTGCCCTGCATCTCTCTTCTCTCTCTCTCTCTCTCTCTCTCTCTCTCTCTCTCTCTCTCTCCTCTCTCTCCTCTCTCCTCTCTCTCTCTTTCATCAGTTGCCAATCTCTTCTTAGCCTGCCTCTCCTTTGCTGGTTAATCAAATTCTCTGCTTCTCCTTGTCCTAGTTTTTCAGCCTCTTTTTCCCTAACTCTCAAGTATCCTGTTTCTGCTTCATTCTGCCCCCCAAACTTTATTATTATGGTAAATAAATATATAACTATAAATTGCACTTATCCTAGAACAATTCCCTATCATTAGTATTAGCATAACTAAAGTCTTGATGAGACTACTTATCCCTTCTCCACCCCCAGATTTTGGTCCCAAATGTGGTATCACCCGGGAGAGGACTCCAAACACGTGTGTGTAGATGCGCTAAAGAAAATATTTTACCGTTCTAAATTATTCCTCTTTCAACAAAAGAATAAAACTCCTTCCTAGTGTCCGCTTAAAATCTCTCTGCAAAAATGCGCAGCTCATTTGTTCTTATGGTAGTCTTCTTCATCCTCTTCCCCCACTTCTCTAGCGTGGTGGTACAGCCCGGTTCCAGGCCAATCCGGTGTTTGTACGGAACCAATTTGACTTTCATAATGGCGGCTCCCTTGCCTAAGAGCAATTGAGAGCAGCCATATTGCCCGCTGAACAAAGCCGCCTGGTACGGAACGGCGCAGGCTCGGGAGCCCGGTGAGGTGCCCACCGACAGGAAGCGGGAGAGTTGCTACTATGGATGTGACAGCTATCCTGGTTAAGCCGTGATGGGCGTTTCGGGACCTAGTAATCGAGCTGGGGGTCAGAAGAGGAACGTGTCCAGTGATGAGTGAGTCGGTGGGATTGATAATGGGAAGGAACGCGTCAGTCCGGGTCTGGGATGGGAGGTTTATGAAATCACTGGGTGGGAGGTGCGTACCGTTAGTGTTGGGTTTATTTCTGAGTCAGGGATGGATGAGCTGTTTGATTAACAATTGGGGAATGACGGGGTGTCTATGGAGTCAGGAATGATGTGAAGGAGGGCTAACAGGGTACAATGACTTAGATCGCTCTTAGGAATCCGATTGGTGGGGGGCTATGGACTAAAGAAAGGGGGAGTCCATATGGAGCATGTGATTGCTAGGGGTTCCGAAATTTGGAAGAAACAATGATAGAGTCAGGGCGACCTAGTAGCCACGATTTACTAAGAAAGGCTCTCCTTTACATTAAATTTCCAGTCATAGTCAGCTATTGAGTAGAAGTCAAGCTCTGGTCACATCTTCTCAGTCTCCCATTGTCCCCATAACCTCATGTCTTTCCTCAGAAATGGTCATTTATCGAACAAACCTAAAGAGAGAGGATTATTATGAAAGTGTAATTTCAGCTCCCCTTTTTCATTGAAATCATCTTATATTTTACTCAAGAGACATATTATTGAGTTGCAGGACATGAATAACTGTCTTGTTTCCTTCCAGGTCTGTTTTGATAAAGCCTGGGATACCCCATATAAAATGGTCTCCCTCTCATAGAAGCCCCACTTGCTCTGAACCAGTTTAGCCCTATACTCATGACTCTTCCTGGGACTGAGATATATTTACCAGGTTTGTACCATCCTGCATTGTGGAATATTTCCTTTTATCCGTGGATCCAACTTATTACCATTTTTGTACACAGACAACAGCACTGTTGAAAATCAGCAATAAAAATTTCAGCAGAAAAATGTCTTAAAATTAACATTTTAGTTCATCAATATTGATTTGGCAAGAGGGTTTGCTACGTTTAGAAAAAATATCAGAACCCTTAGGAGATAACTACTCATGATTATTAAGTAGAATTGCTGGCTTCCAGGGGGAACAACTCTTAGTAAATCAACTGAACACATATCCTTACATGAATCGAAGTTTAAAAAAAGAAAAAAATTTGTCTTGAGTTTTTTGTGATCATGTTAAAGGCAAAACAAATAAAAGTTAATGGTTGATTCCTTCTCCAAATGGTGTTTGCTGATAGTTCTAAGGTTCAAATAACCTTCTCAACCTTCTCCCACAAGGTGGACCATTACCCACCTGACTTCACCTGGTGGTGTTTTCTAGAATGCTGAATGCTGTGCTACATTCTGGATTTGGACCGTGAAATTTTTATTCTGATGACCAGTTTTGTTTTTTCTGGCATCTGTTCTTGTTGAAGATAGCAGAAAATGAAGTCTCAGGTAAGTTGCTTTTTAAACATTTACCACCTTGGATTTCCACCCAGTCAAATGGAAAAACACAAGTATTTAAAATTTAGCTTAGGGTAAAGGTAGAAATAATAATGATCAAGACCTAGAAAGAGTTGCTGAGTAATATGTAGAAATCTGGCTCAAAACTGTTTTTCTAAATTCATATCAATTTTTCTGTCCCTTCTTACAGAAGTAGACATCATAAGTTATATGATTTCATGATTTGCATTTCCTAAAGCAGATCAATCTCCTATGGGAAGAAAATATTTCTTGCTGTATAAGACAAAAAGAGAGAGAGGGAAAAAAAAAGGCTATTTGGGGTCTTTCTCTAGATACACAGTGTTTAACACTCATTTGGTAAATGCACCAGTACATGTGTCTTAAAATTATGTTTTTTAGAATGGGAAGTATGATAATTTTTTAGCCAAACACTTGGATTTTATTTTTTGGCCAAATCCAGTTCTCCAAATTTTTTGCAAACAAAGTCTTACTGAGGCACAGTCATATTTGTTGACATTATCCATACCTATTTTCCAGCTGCAGTTGTGGGGTTGAGTAGTTACAACAGAGACTGGATAGCCTACAATGTCACAAATGTTATCTTTACCAAAAAATTTGTCAACACCTGCCTTAGAGGAGAAAATGATTGTAAAGACTTTCTAGAGTCTAATTTATCCAGAGGTAGAATCTGGATAATTTAAGATAGATACATTTTGAATATTCTTCCAAAATACCTATGTCTCTCAAAAAAAAAAAAAAGTTCTTAAATTATATTTAACTGGCAAAGGTTTGGAGGGCAAAACTTCCTGTGCTCTGTGTTCTTTGTTGTGGTTTCAGAATTTGTCGGATTACTCTCCAGTTTGATTGTTTCTTCTCTGCTCTTCCATTTTAAAAAATATGTGTTATTTTTTTTAATCAACATTCGCCTTCTGCATGGTATAAAAATTTTAAACTATATAAGAAAATAAAAATTAAAAACAGAGTCTATTTAACTTAATGCCTCCTTTCCCTGAGATATTCAGTGTTATTATTTCTAACCCTGCAAATCTTAATGCCTCCTATTTTCTTGTATGTTCCTTTTGGAAAAATGATGCTATAGTGAACATTTTGTTTCACAACCTGGTTTTCGACTTAATGACAGAAGTATAAGATTTTCACATACATTTTGTTTATCTGCCCATGTCAGTACATAACATTCTTCTTTGTTGTTTTATCAGATGCATAATATTTCTTCTGGCCTGGTTGCCTGGAACTTTTTCCTCATTTGTAACGATGGAGATGGTAGTCTTCATAGGGTTGTTGTGAGAATTAAGTGAGCAGGCAGCATGCTTGGAACTATAACTGGGACATGGTTTCTACTGTGTGCATTAGCTATTATTATCTCATCATTGTGATTGTCAAATCTTGAAATCAGCTTTTATATTAGTAGTCTTTTTGCGTATTATTAAGTTCAACTGAGTTCTGTTGCAAAAAGATGAGTTCATTTTTCTTCTTAGATGTCAGGAGCAGTGAGTTTTATTGTTCAATATAGTAGCCATTAGTGGCTACATGTGGTATTGAGACTTGAAATTGGCTAGTCTGAATTAAAATGCTTTAAGTGTTAAGTATGTACTGAAATTTGAAGATAAAATTCCAGAAAACCCACTTAATAGTTTTTAAAGCTAATTATATATTGAAATGATATTTGAGGCAGTATACAGGGATAAATATATACTATTAAAAATAACTTTTTGGATGTAACTTCTAGAAAATCTAAAATAATTTTTCTCTTTAGTTTTATATTCCTTTTAGTTAGCACTGCTTTAAAGAATAAGAATAGATTTTTTTATTAGCCCAATAAATCCAACTACCCTGGTTAATTAGCTGAATAAATGCTTGTTCCTTCAGGAAGAGGGCTTCATCTTCTGAACCATCCAGAAGTGAAGGCATTGCTTCTGCCTCTCCCCTTCCTTTCTCCCTCTAACACTTGCCCCAATTCTCTGTCACTTTTCTTCTCTAAATGGCATTTCCATTCTCCCAGCCACCCAAGCTGTAAAAATTATTTACAGATGACAAAAGTATAAATTTTCACTGATTATATACCATATTTTCTCAGAATTAACAAAATATATATATATTTAGTATATTAAGCACTTGAATATCATTAATAAAGCACAATCAGAATGCTAGAATTATAATATACATTTTGCTATAAGAATGTATTTCCTCTACATTCTACATTAATTATCTTTCTCATGTTACTACTTTTCAGATCAAAAGAGTATGCACGACTGCTATACAAAACTACTTTTTTAAAAATGTTTTTTTTTAGTAGGAGATGGACACAATATCTTTATTTTTATTTATTTATTTTTATGTGGTGCTGAGGATAAAACCCAGGGCCATGCATGTGAGGCAAGTGCGCTACCACTGAGCTACAGTCCCAGCCCCAAAACTACTTTTAACTGACCATGAGTTTTAGTTATTTTAAATTTTATAATCTTCGTTCATTTTCAGCACATTTTTTCTCGAGCGCTCAATTTATGCCATAGGCACTGGGTAGCTGTTGAATATCTCAAGAAAATTTAGGCATTCTTCTTTACTGAGAGCACTGCTAAGAAAAGTGGCATGAAGAGATGGGTTAACACAGAAAAGCTCTGTAACAGGCAGGGAAGCAGTGTGCTGTCATCACAGAGAGGAGGAGCCAACAGCTTTGTAAGGAGGCAGGAAAGAGGTTTAAAAGATTATTGACCTCTGGGTTATGAAGGAAATAGGGTGAGGATGGGAGGCAGCATTTGTAAAAGTAGGTACAAAATAATTTTAGGAAAGCTGAGGATTTGAGGAAAAACTAAAGAGGTAAGTGTTGCATGGAGAGGTTGCCTATGCATGGGACTGAAGTGATAGAACTTGAAAGACCATGTTTTCCATATCAAGGAGGCAGTCTGAAGTGAGTAGTAACGAATCAAGCTGGTGACTCAGAGTAAATCTTATAAATCTGAAAATTAATCAATCAATCATATTTTCTGTGTATGATCTTTGGCCAATAGTTTCTTAATGACTACAGTTCTCAGTTTTCTCATATATACAATAGGAAACTAAATGGGACTGTCATGGGCAAAGTGCTTGGCAGCTTGGCGATGCATAGGGAACCAGATGTGGGAGGAGAAAAAGTTTACAACTGAGATGGCTGAGATGAGACTAATTCTGTGTGCCAGGAGGGAAACCACAGAGGCTTTGAAGAAGGGAAGTGCTGATATTTGAAACAATGCTTCATTTGTTTTCATTCTGAAAGCAACACTTAATAACAATGGAGTATTTAGAAAATAAATATTTAGGAAATTTCCTGAAAAGTAGCTTAAAATAATAACAAATCATTCCACTATTAGATTATTTTTCACTATTAGATGACAACTATTGTGAAAATAATGGTGACATAAGTCACAGTCAGTTTTCCCTCCAGACACTATATTGCTCTCTACTTACCCAAATCATTTATTTTGATGGCATGCGACTTTGTTGTAGTTTTCTTCATAAATGTTTTCTGCACATTTCTTGTTGTACCTGTTATTTGAGATTTCTTATCTTTTGTTACTATTGTAATTGGTATATTTCATTATATTGCTAGCTGTTGCATGTCTATAAAAGAGCAGTTAGGTTTGGAGGAAGCTAAGATCTTTTTCCCACAAAAATGAGAGTCAGTTAATTAGTTTCTAGTGCACTGGTCTTCTATGATTCTGTAAATGTAGTTTTTCTTTTATTTTCTGTTTTTTTTTAATGTTGATATTTCAAAAGGACTTCTCTGCCCTATACTTGTAAATAAAAAGTTTTTTCTTTTTTCTGACTTTATGATCTCTAGGACATCTTAGAGTTTAAATTTTTTTCCATCACAATTTATTTTATTATCTTTTCTAAGGTATAAGATATAATGAATTAGTTTGCCTGGGCTGCCATATCAGAGCACCACACACTGATTGACTTAAGTAACATAAATTTATTGCCTTAGTTTTGGAGGCTTGAGTCCAAAATCAAGATGTCTTCAGGGTTATTTCCTTATGTGACTGTGAAGGAAGAATCTATTCCAGGTTTCTTTCCTTTACTTTTTCATGGCCACTTTTTTTTTCTGCATCTCTTTGCATCATCTTCCCTTTGTCCTTGTCTGCTCAAATTTCTCCTTCTGACAAAGACATAAAATATATTGGATTAGGATCCAACCCTAATGACTTCATATAGTTAGTTATATCTACAAGGACTCTGTTTCTAAGTAAAGCCATGTTCTGCGGTATTAGGGGTTAGTTCAGCATATCTATTTTTAGGAGAAACATTTCAACCAATAACATATTGCTTTAATATTATTCTATTGACTGTACCAGTCATTTCAGTAACATTCATGGAATAATCTTTTTTCCTCCCAGTTACTTGAATGCTATCTTTATCATTTATTAAATTACCATATATATTAGATAGGCATTTTATGGTTTATCTCTTCATTTTCCTGATCTGATTTTTCTTGCTAAAAATAGAGCTTTGCATTGTTTCTCTCAAAAACTATGATGTGGGTATAGTTTTGTATACTACAGTGGTAATGATAAAAATGATCACTTCACATTGAATAGGAATGTACTATTACAGGGGTTAGTATCATTCAAAGATGTGGCTGTGGATTTCACCCAGGAGGAGTGGCAGCAATTGGATCCTGCTCAGAGGACCCTGTATAGGGATGTGATGCTGGAGAACTTCAGCCATCTGGTCTCAATGGGTAAGTATGGCTTCCCTGTATAATCCAGTTGTATAAGCAAGTGCCTTTCTTTATCAGTTACTGTGTTTAGTTGGTTCCTGATACATATGAATTTCATGACCTTCATATGTTTGCAAATGGAGGTCATCCCTTTGTTGAGGGCTAAATAGACAACTTCATTTTAGAACACCTGAAATTGTACCTTCTCTTCTTCCTTCAGTGCAATCAATCCAGTTCCTTCCTGATTTCCATTTAATAGGATATCCAGTTTCCAAACCAGATGTCATCTCAAAGTTGGAACAAGGAGAAGATCCATGGATCATAAAGAGAGAAATACCAAACTGGATCTATCCAGATGGAAATCATGCACATGAGAGACAAGGAAAGTGCAATATCAGTTTGTTTGTTTTTTAATTGTTTGGTGCCTGAGGCTTATATATTATTCTTATTGAAATCTATTCTTTGCTCCTATGCTGAGAATTTAATATTTATTCAACCAATAATTATAGGCATTTAGTAAGCATTTAAGAAATAACTAAAAGTAATTGTGAGCCTTTCAGTGGAAAGCTATTTCTTCTTTAATCCCCCCCATATTTATAAATATGTATATGGTTATTTGTGTATTTGTGTGTAAATTATGTAAGTATGCCTTTTATGATGTGAAAGAGCTATAAAGGCAATAGAAAACAAAGCCCTTACAAGTACATAAGAGTAGTTTAAGTACTTTAAGAGGTAAGACCTCTGGGTACATGAATACACAATTAAACAACAAATACAGCTACTATATTTTAAGTCTCAGAAAAAATTTAGAATCTAAAGAGATGTGGCAGAATTTGAAAAAGCATTTTTTGAGTATGCAGCTATGATTGCTCTGAATGACATAAGTGCTGAGATTGAAGGAAGAGGATGAAGGGAAACTGTGGAAGAGAGCTGTTCATAAAACCTTGGAATTAATAAGATATGGCTTTTCTGGGAGAACTTTGCTAGTTTCACTTGATGCATACAGTAGGCATTTTATTGGGAGTAGTTAAATTCACATGTGTATTCTTGGTATGAATCTGATACTGAATCTATAGCAGTACTTGAGTTTCTCTGTTGTTTGTTTTAGTTGTTAGTCAGGAAAACTGAGGAGAGTTAAAGTTTTTTAAATACTTAAGAGACCTAGTTTCTTTGAAGTGGTGGCAGAATAATGGTTAATTTATAAATAACAAATAGTTGATAAGAAAAAGAATACAAAAAGTGAAAATAATTTCTATTTAGAAAGCAAGGAAAATAGGAATATCTTGGAAGAATAAGTCAAGATCAAAGTCTCTTTTCTATCTCCTTGAAGTCTAGGTTTTATATGAATACTTTCTCTTCAATACTTTATCTATTCACCCAATCATTATGTGCTGGACTATTTTCTGAGATGCCAGACCATGAACTCATAGTCTAAATTCATCAATTTTGTTGGATTATCCATTTGTTCTGCTACTTTGACTCTTTTAATTGTTCTTTATGACTTTTTGATTTTATCTTTCCTTCTTTTAGAAAGGAAGAGTAACCCTCATAACTTCCAATCATATATTTTGAAGACTGTTTCCTTCCATAATAAGATACTGAAAGGAGTCACAAAAGATGGATCATTTTACTCCATATTAAAAGTCTGCCAACGTGATAGCCAGCTGCAGAGTTGTCAGGGAAATCAAGACAAACTTTTCAGGCAAGTCACATTTGTCAGTAGCAATATAACAACTGAGGCATCGGGTCATAAATATAATGCATTTGGAAGAGTATTTGATGAGTACATAGAACAAGATATATCAGAACAAAAACTCCACAAATATAATACATTTGAAAAGAACTTAAAACCAAATATTGGCCTACCAAATTTTTATAAGGGTAATTCAAGAAAAAACCTTAATGAGAGTTTGGGTTTTGGAAAATTATCTAGTCACAGTGTGGCCAATTCTGATCTTGAGAGAATTCACAATGGGGTAATACTCTGTGATGATGATCAATGTGAAAACATTTTCAGCAATAAACAATCCCTTATCCAATATCAGAATGTTGAAACTAAGGAGAAAACCTGTGTCTGTATTACATGTGGAAAAGCATTTGCTAAGAAGTCACAGCTTATTGTACATCAAAGAATTCATACTGGAAAGAAACCATATGATTGTGGTGCATGTGGAAAGGCCTTCAGTGAAAAGTTTCATCTCATTGTACACCAGAGAACTCACACTGGGGAGAAACCTTATGAATGTTCTGAATGTGGGAAAGCCTTCTCTCAGAAATCATCCCTCATTATACATCAGAGAATTCACACTGGGGAAAAACCATATGAGTGCAGTGAATGTGGGAAAGCCTTCTCCCAGAAATCGCCCCTTATTATACATCAGAGAATTCACACTGGAGAGAAACCTTATAAATGTAGAGAATGTGGGAAAGCATTTTCCCAAAAGTCACAACTTATTATACATCATAGAGCTCATACTGGAGAGAAGCCATATGAGTGTACTGAATGTGGAAAAGCCTTCTGTGAGAAGTCCCACCTCATTATACATAAAAGAATTCACACTGGTGAGAAACCCTACAAGTGTGCTCAATGTGAAGAAGCCTTCAGCAGAAAGACAGAACTTATTACACATCAGTTAATTCATACTGGGGAGAAGCCCTATGAATGTACTGAATGTGGGAAGACTTTCTCCCGGAAGTCACAGCTCATCATACACCAGAGAACACATACTGGAGAGAAACCCTACACGTGTAGTGAATGTGGTAAAGCCTTCTGTCAGAAATCACATCTCATTGGACATCAGAGAATTCACACTGGAGAAAAACCCTATGTGTGCACTGAATGTGGGAAAGCCTTCTCTCAGAAGTCTCACCTCCCAGGACATCAGAGAATTCATACAGGGGAGAAACCTTATATGTGTGCTGAATGTGGAAAGGCCTTTTCCCAGAAGTCAGACCTTGTTTTACATCAGAGAATCCATACTGGGGAAAGACCCTATCAATGTGTGATATGTGGGAAAGCCTTCATTCAGAAGTCACAACTCACTGTACATCAGAGAATTCATACAGCCATAAAATCTTAATGAACTTACCACAGAAAAGCCTTCAATATTAGTTTTAGCCTTAATAATAACCAGGAACCTGATTAACTTGATGAGTATGGGACAACATCTTTATAGATAAAATTTTCCTAGGGATTAAATGTTTCTAGTATGGTGATGCCTTTTTCAACAAACATAATTATATATGGGAAGGCATTTTTAATATGGTGTGAAAATTTTTTGAAGTTATGAACTCATTGATCAGTAGAATAAAGTATGTATACAGAATAGCATTGATTTACATATTCCTTATTATACCGCATAATGTAATCAGAAATTGAAATCACAGATATCTGGTTGGCATAATTATGACCATACAGTAATTCTTTATAAAGGATATGGAAGAACATTTGAGTAAAAAAAACAATAACATAAAACATCAATTCCCAGAACCTGTATTATATTAATGTGTTTAAGCCCTAAAGCTGCATGTAAAACTCCTGTATAAAAGTACAGAGGTAGGTTGAGTTGATTCAGTAATGTTGACATTTATGCATTTTCTATCTCAAACATATAATTTGAACTGCATCTCTGAAAGGACCCCAAGTCTTGGATTTTGACAAGTTCTCCCCTTTACTCTCCCTAACTGGGAAGTTAGTTTGGTGAAAGACTTTTGTGCTGAAGCCGTACAGTCTTGGGTTTTGGTCCTGGCTCAGCTGCTCACAGGTTATGTGAATTCAGACAAGCTTACTTCACTTGTCTGGATGTTTTTCTTATCAGTAAATAAAAGTACAATGTAGAATACATTTTCAGTTAATTTTTATTTTTTTCTATTCTCACACAACAGAATCCTAAGACAAATGTGCATCTTCACATTTGAACTTGCTCTACACTTTCAATACTCCACTTTTGATTGCCCACCTCTGCAACTGGTTCATTTTACTGTCTCTGACCCTGTTGGCTATGTTCTTGCTATGATATATTGGTATTTTAAAATACACTTATTTTCTACATTAACATATATGAGGAGGTGATTGAACATACAAACTATTCCTGTGTCTCTTTAGCTCCTTTTTCACCCTTACCCTACAGTCCCAATTGTCTTACCTGGGAACTGAGGACAGTTCACAGGAAAAAAAAATCTTGGGGTAAGAGAAGAGACGTGCCTACCTAGCCTGGAGAACTTGATATTTCATAAATGTCTGCTACCTAACTCTTATGCCTTCTTGAGCAGCTTTAGACAAGCAACCCTGCTGAAGATCACCTACAGGAGAGCAGTTTTGGCAAAGATGAAATAGTCTTTGGGTTAGGCAGTATCTGTGTACAATTCTGCTTACCTTCTTCACATTTCCAGCCCAGCTGATCCCCATGGCTGAAATGTCTGATGAAAAAGTTGGACTGATCTGGGTGAGAACCTCCATAAAGGACAGGCTTAAATGACGGGTATAGAAACTCAATGTTAAGGGTGTTAGTTTTCCCCCTAAGTATTTATTGTTAAAGGTGGAGAAAGAAAATCCAAAGGAACAGCCCACTTATATAGAATTAGTTACTTTTATTACTGAATAATAAAAATATCATGTAGCTATCAGGTAGCCAGCATCTGGCTGCAAAGTTCTAGTGGATATGATTAATCATATCCCTCAACATTTCTCAATTAAGTTAGATTGGTTTAGTTTCTCTCAATATTTGATGTATTCCATACCAAATTCCAATAAACTGTGGTTATATGGAATTAAAGCTGTAATTTTTATAAATCTGCTATTAGTTAGCAAATAGCACATATTCATTTTTGCCAGTAGTTACATTGAGTTTACTCTGATATTCTGTTTTGTATAACATGTAATGCTTTTCATCTTTCTTTATCAACACATGTTGTTGTTGCTCCTGACAGTGTATCTAACACATATGCTTTGTCATGTCCCTTATCAGTCCTCAGTGAAGTTAGATCAATTTAGTTTCCTACAATATTTAATTCATTCCATACCAAATGCCAATAGGCTTTTCTTTATCTTAAAATTTGGTTCTAAAATTATGTATAGAAACAGTCTATGGCAAGGATATTCAAGACACTTTTGAAGGACAAATTGGGGAATTTATCAGACTAAGACTTACTATAAAATGGTAGCATTTAATAAAATGTGGTATTATGTATGAGTACTCAAATACACCAAGGGTAAAAGAGAATCTAGAAAAACTCTTAGCCGTAGTCACTTGAATTATGATAAAGATGGCACTCTAGAGCAGTAGGAGAAAAGTAGTCTTTTCCATACTATTTCTGACTCAATTCTCTATGTAAAAACAAAGGAAAAAAATCTTAAATTTATCACATATCATTTATAAAATCAATTCCACTTAAATCTCTAATAAAGGAAAATATATAGCAACAGTAGAGATCGGGTAAGAAGAAAGCCTGAAAATATCAAAGCATCTTTCTCAATAGATGAGAATACAAAATTGTGAATAAAACTCCAAGAAAGTAAAAATAACATGATAAGAAAAGATAACAAAATAAAGAAATGGGGTTGGGGGGACCCACAAAACAGAAATGTTGATTCAAAAAATAATGTAATTAGTAATCCCATGATAATACACATCAAAATAAATAAAGTTTAGGTACATAATAATAATGAAAAATATGAATGCCTAATACAAGCAATGAAGGAGAACATACTCAGTCTAAAGATACTAAAAGACATTAGGAAGACTTGAGTACAACCAAATATTTAAGTAAAAGAAATACTAATTCTACAATGTCTCTTCCAGGAAAGAGAAGAGGATTATATTGAGGCTAAAACAGTCAGAAACATTATACAGAAAAAAATTCTAATGACCAAACTTTTTCTTAGACATGGACACTCTTAAAAGAATATTGCAGATAAACCCAGCTCTATTTTGAAAGTAGATACATCATGACCTAATAGATCAGGAATGAAGGTTTGTTCAACATACAAAATCAGTGAGTATAATTCACGATATCAGTAGCCTGAAACAAAGTAATCATTTAACTATTTCAATAGAAGCAGGAAATAGTTGGCAAAAATTCAACATGTATGTTTAGTAAAAACTCAAACCAGGGACAAAAGGCAGCTTTCTCCAGACTGTTAAAAGGCTTATGTAGACAATCTATAATTAATATCATATTTAATAATACTAAATGCTTGTTGCCAATTGGAAAAAAGGCAAGAGTATCTGCTCTGCTTTCACTATTTCTAATTAACATTATACTGGTGGTCTTTGCCAGTACAATAAGGAAAGCAAAAAGATAGATAGTTGGCAGATCCTGCAATCTAGAAAGGAAGAGATAAAAGTGTCCTTAATTATAGACACCATATTCTTCTTCATAGATCCCAAGAACTCTACAAAAAGTCTTACTAGACCTAATAAGCAGGTTTTGCAAAATATCCAAAGAAATGGAGAGACAAACTGTTTAAATACTAAAAGGTTCAGTATTGTTAAGATGTCAATTCCTGTCAAATTGTTCTGTATACTAAATTCACACACAAAAAAAAAAGCATTTTTGTGAAGGTCGACAAGCTGTTTTAAAAATTCATATGTAAATACAAAATACCTCGAATAGAGAGAACAACTTTTAAAAACAAAGATCAAAATTGAAAGATTCATATTACCTGTAGCTTATAAAGCGACAATAACCAAGACTACTTTTGGCATAAGAAGAGACACGCTATACGTATGTGGCAACTGATTTTTAACAATCTAATTGGCAAGAGGTAGTCTGTTCAACAAATAATTCTAGAAAAATGTAAAAACAACTATGTGAGTTTCCATATACCAAAATAAATTATTTTAAGTTTAACCCTTCACTCATGCGGTATGCAATTTGAAATAGATCATGGACATAAATATGAAGCTATAAACCACAAAGATACAGAAGAAAATGGTGGCTTTGTCTTTTCACACAAGACCAAAAGCCACAAAGCATTGAAAATTGGTTCATTATGATTATGTCTGCTTTTCAAATTAAACTGTTATGAAGTTGAAATACTCTGGATTTGTCCTTCATAGCCTTTCTATCAGACACAGAATCAATCATTTCTCCATGGAACACTGCTACTCTTGGTGAGCAAAGGTATTTGAAAGGTATTTGGGTGTTCACAACTGAAGGGATATCATTGCATATAGGCCACCTTCAAAGGACAGGTTGAGGACTCTGACCATATATCATAAATTATGAGGTTATTTTGATCTCTCCTATTCATAATTTTCAAAAAATCTTTGATTCTTTGCAAGTATCACTTTGGTATCACACAAAATGATTCCCACTCACATTAGCAAATATATAGTTATTTTATCTTATACCTAACCAAACTCAGGTTGTCAATATTAGGGTAACAGTAAACAAAAACAAATTTAAAAAATTAAATCATATGTTGAATGACTATAGAAATTCAACCAAGTTGAAAATGATAACATTAACAAGCTCAAACACAAATATGTAAGTTCAAAGAAGTGTAGCATATAGATCAGATGTTCTGTGAAAGCTCAACTTCGTCTTCTTTCCAACCCCAATATCCTGTCTTTAAGTCATCTTTGCAAGTGAATCTTTGGCTTATTTCCCTGTGTTGATTCCTAATTTGAAGCTTTCATACTTTAGGCATCATATTTGTTTTCTTATTGCAGCTCTATGTGGTCATGTTTACCCCCAAGCATAGCCAAGTTAACTTGACTATTACCTCCCAGGAGGACTACGGGCTGGGAAACAAACCTTTAACACAGGGGTTTTTGGGGGACACATTAGATCCAAACTATGGTAAAAAAAATTTTAATTAAAAGATGGAAGAATAATGGGGAAGAAAGAAGAAAATGGAAAAGGAACAGAAGTAAAGGGGAAGAAAGGGAGGATCATTCACTACTGAAGATGATAATGGTGGTGAAAACTTCATAACAATAACAAACACAGAGAACCCTTTTCAAGTTCTTTACATATGTCTCCCCACAACGTATTATTACTGTCATTTTACAGATCAGGAAGCTGAATCATAGAGGCAGTGACTTACTCTTTTTACTCTCTTGCCTCTTATAATAAGGAAAGGTTGTTAAAAAAAAGTTTGCTATTTCAAATCAACAAAAAAGTAAGAGCAAATGAAATTTAAAGACTCAAAAGCTAGAACTATGCAAAAGTGCAAAGTGAAAGAGAGAATCCCCACTCAATGATTATTCACATCACTCCTGAAATTCTAAAAATAATGAGGTAATCATTCAAAGCACTTCATAGGTGGCAGAGTGAAGCCACAGCCCTACAGGTTTTTTAACCTCTCATCAGATGCTAC